CCAAAAGCCATCCAGACACTGCTGGAAACCCCGTGGTGTCTCTTAATGTGCATCACCGCTGCCTTTTCCCCTGGTGTAGAGCATAGAGAGGGACCAGAGAGCCAAAGCTCAGGGGCTGAAGAACCTAGATGACTTTGAGCCCAACGACCTCAACTACGAAGGCCGACTTCTGGAGGACAGGTTCCTGTATGACGGCATCTCCTTCAACCTGGCGACAGAGACCGGTGAGGACGCTGGCGGGTTTGAGCCCCTTTGCAAAAAAGCTTTCTGGGAGCACCTGGGTTTTGGGTCAGGGTGTCTCAGACCTGTGCTGTGCCCTCAGCTCTGTCCAAAAGCCTGGATGACGCCTTTGCCTTGTGGAAGCAGCTCCTGGCAACACCGAGCATCCCAGCTGTGCGCAGCCCCGAGCAGACTGTAGCTTCCCTGCATCTCCTGGCAGCTCTCTACAAGCTGATGGCCAAGGTAACGCTGCTGGAGAGGTGACCCGTGGGACTGCAGCCTCCCCAGGCACACAGAGTCCCTCTGAGGGGTCTCTGAGTGTAACTGGGCGGGTGTTTTTCTTGCCCCCAGCCCTTGCAAGCCATGGAGAGCTACCTCCTGGTCAGAGCACTGTGCAGCGCATTTGGGGACAGCCTGGGCACGGCCAGTGCCCTGTGCCAGGTCACCAAGCTGCTTTTCCAGCTGGAGTGCCCCAGCTACGCCCAGGTAAGTCTGGCAGGGAGGGAAGGGGCTGCGGGATGAGCTCAGGCGATCCCCGAGGCCGCAGCCCTCATGCTGGTGCGTTCATTTCCAGCTTTTCCTGGAGGAAACAGAATCCTGCCTGCAGAAAGCCGACAGCAGTGATGATTCCTACCTGCTGCTACAGCAAACCTACCTCCTGCTCCGTAGCCAGCTGTGCTGTGTTAACCACCAGGTAAGGCTCCTAAAAGCCCTTTTTTTTGCCTCAGAAGTAGTGTCAGAGGGCAAGAAGAGGCTGCAGCAGCCCTGTCTCGCCATCTTGATACTTCTTGCTAGGGACCTTGGGCATGAAGACACCCTGGACTGTGAATGGTGACTGTTTTTCTCCCTCTGCAGATTGAAGAGGGTCTCACCCTGTTGCTGGAGGTGCTCCAGAGCCCGGCTCTGCAAAAAATTGCGAAGGTCTGGTACCTGCTGCGAGCCCACGTCCTTCAACTGGTGGCCGTCTACCTGAGCCTCCCCCCTGCCCGCCTCTCGCTGGAGCTCCGGCAGCGCATCTTTGCACGAGGTGAGTTGCCGGTGGACATTTAAAAACCCTCCCAGCGAGCACCAGGCTGACAGGGGTCATGGACGAAGCTCCGTGCGAACACTGCACCTCTGGGTTTCTCCAAACCAGCCCGTTTGGGGCGAGGAGAGGGAATTTGGGGGAGTTGCTCTGTGCTGGGGCTGGGGAGGGTCTTGCTTGGTGCTGATCCCCACAACTGCCCTCGCACAGGGTGGAAGACGCCCAAGACTGCTCTTATCGAAGCCCAGAAGCTTTTCCGCAGCATCATCCTCCTGCTGTTGGGCAGCGACGTGCTGGGCTGTCAGACAACGGCGTCCGATGTCCAGTTTGTGGATTACGGTGAGCTTGCGTGGACCGAAACCCAACTGCTCCTCTGGAAAAAGTTGGGTTCCTTGTCTCCACCTCCAGAAGGAGCAGCTCCCGTCACCTCCTTGTCCTTCCTCGTAGGGGACAACCTGCTGCTGAAGTGGCAAGTGCTGGCTGACATGTTGGTCTGCTCGGAGCACCTGGTGGTTCTCCTCAGCAGGCTGGAGGTGGTCTGTAAAGCCAAAGCTTTCTGCTTGGAGGCCGTCAAGTTGGCCATGAAACTGCAAACCACCTGGTGGTGAGTTGGCTGTGGAGAGAGGGGTGGGGGGTACAGCTTGACCCTGAGCTTGGGGGTCTGTCCGTGCCCCCGCAGTGAGAGGCTTTGGCACCTTCTCAGCTTGGCCTGGAGCAAGCTGCTGCTCTGGGATGTGTTATCCCATGAATTCAGTTTGCCAGGTCAGACATGAGCTTGTTTCTCGCTGTCTGCCTGTCTCCCTCCCACCCGGCCCTGGGGGATGGAGCGGTGGCTGTTGGGGGGGTGGTTCTGAGGGCTGTTTTTTTCCCCCCTTAAATACTCCCTTCCTGGTGCTGAAGGCCCAGCTGGAGCTGCAGCAGAGCGAGCTGGAACTGAGCCACTTTGATCTCCAGCAGGTTCTCTTCCTCCTGGAGTCTGACATCCGTGAGTCCCCGCTCCGGGTTCGGAGGGGAATGGGGTGGGGGGGGCTGAGGTGAGCTCCAAGGCTGGGTGGTGCCAGGGACGACCCCTCTTGAGCCCACTTTTGGGCTGGGGTGAAAGATCTGCCTTGCACAGATGCTGTTGGAGCAGTCGATTCCCATCACCCAGGAGGGTGCAGAGGTGGGGGGTGATGCTGAGCCACGTTTTGGGTCATTGAACGACTCCAGCTGATAAAGGCGTAGCTGGGGAAAGCAGAAACGTTGGGTCTGCCTTCCCGTACCCCTCCTCGGGCTGACTGCGGTGGGAGCTGAGGGAGGGCTGTGCAGGGAGGAGACTGAACCCTCCCCTCTGCCCGCAGAGTTTAAAACCAGCAAGAAGCAGAAAGGCCAGACCAAGATCCTGCCCAGGAAGGGCAAACTCGAGGGCAAGAAGTCGCAGGACCCCATCTCTGAGCCCCCCGGGGAAGAAGAGGGTTTCCTGAAGGGACCTGAGCTGGAATTTGTGGCCACGGTGAGCAGGCTGGAGAAGGCAGATGCTCTCACTGCCTCGCCGGAGCTGAAACCCAGGAGGAGGAAGAGACTGGCCTTCCTCGCCCACCCGGCAGCCTGTCCGTGCTACCTGTGCTCTGACCTGGTGCTCTCAGCTCTCTGCCTGCGCTGGCTTCTCTCCTGCGCCCAGGGCGAGCTGGCAGCAGGCAACACGACCGAGGGGCTGGGTCTAATCCATGCTGTGTTGCCGCGCTGTGCTGCCGTGGCCTCCCGCTTTGCCGCTGTGCTGCGAGACAAGCTATGGGGCAGCTCCAGCGGCCGGGACTTGCCTACACTGGAGCTGCTGGACGATTTGGTGGCCACTGGCTATGCCACGTTGGCCCTTCAGAGCCTTGCCAGCCCCCGGCCGGCGAAGGAGCTGCAGGAGGAGCTGGAGACGGGGTTGACCTTCCTAACATCCTGTAGACCCCATTTGCCCAGCCTGGAGGTCTCTAGGGCCAGCCTGCTGCTTACCAAAGCCATGGCTACCATTTGCCACCTGGCCTCCAAGCACGGCAACTCCATGGACGGTGTCTTTGCCGGCGCTTGGCAGTTGCCCACACTGACTCCGGCAGAGCCCAAAGTGGCAGCCGTGCCGCAGACCCTCAAGACGGACAAGGCTCAACCCCAAAGGCGCAAAACCAAAACAAGCTTGGCCCCCGCCGTGCCCAAACCCAGGGTGAAGAAGAGCCAGAAAGCGAAGCCCCTGGCTGTGCCGAACGCTGGTGACATCTTTGCTCTGGGTGATCTGGACAGCGAGGTGCCCCCCATCGTCATCCGGCCGGTGACAGTGCCCTGTACCCCTCACCAAAAAACCTGTCCCCCCGCCAAGGCACGCATAGCCCCTGGCTCCAGGACTCCCTTCACCATCTTCAGCGAATCCTCCCCGCCAGCCAGCAAGTCCCGGCTCCTGCGAGCGCCCAAAGTCTTGGGGAAAGTCAAGTCTCGCCTAAAGGTGAGTGAGGAGGGAGGTGAGGGGCAGCCCAGGGTGCCCGGCAGCAGCCCCGACACCCCCCTGTTCCCTCCCCTTTAGGTGACGTTCAGCGATGACAGCGACGTCGAGGATTCCGAAGCGGGGCATACCCCCGTATTTACCCACAAGACATCCTGCGCCCAGAAAACTCTGCCCCGCAAATCCACGGGGGCCCAAGCGAGTGCCCTGGGGTTCGGCAGCCGGAGCAGCGGGGCTCAGCCCCGGAGAGGGCGGGCGGGCGCCCGCCGAGTCGGGGCTGCGGAGGCGAAGAGGGAGCGGGCGACCCGCAGGGCTCCTGGCAAGGGAGCAGAGGAGGAACGAGACCTTCTGAGGGCTGCTGAGGAAGAGAAGGTGGAGGAAGAGCTTGAGATCAGCTTTGAGGTCTTGCGGGTCTCTGAGGA